GAAAACCTTGCTGGAGTGAGCCCCGGAGAGAGAAATTAGACATAAGTGCACACAACTTTCTCTAGCAGGCTTTTTGTTTTTTTTGGTTGTTTTTTTTTTTTTTGGTAGAGAAGGAGAGAATTAAGATGGTAACTGGAAGGGAAGTGGATCAAGAGGGATCTTGAGATGTTTTGCTTTAAGATGGTAAAAAGAACAGCATTTTGTGTGCTGGGAGAAAAGCTCTAAGAGAAAAGGAAAAATTGAAAGAATAGAAAAGAGAGGGAGAGAATATTGTTGGAGCAGTTTGCACGGGTAGGCCCGAGGGGAAGAGGTCTGGTGCAGAAGTGTGGGTGGGCTGGGTTCACACGCTGCTATGCAGAGAGCTTAACATGGTGCTTAGCATTCATTAAAGGCTCAAAGCTGACAGATATTAAAACATCAACTGTCAATTTAAAAGGTTTGGCTAATATGATCGTGCAGTGCCATGCAGCTACAACACTCAGCAGATTAATGAAAGTAAGTTGAATAGAATAATGACAATGAAATGAGGACTCTTAGCAGCAAAACGGAATCACAGTGACAGACATCCAGGGTATTGGCCTAACGTAAACAGAGATACCTGAAGAAAAGTAGGAAGCATGACAGGTTAGTATTTACATCGACTCATGGGGTGAGCCAGCCAGAACCAGGATCCCACAGGCACTTGACTCCTTGTAGATGCTCTGAGTTGATTATAAATTCAGCATGATTTAGGAGGAAAAAAACAACCCTGTCTCTTTCCTCATAAATATTGCATGGTATAACGATATTTTCATGCTCTTTCAGTGATTTTTATGCTGATTCAAAGGCTAACCTGTAGGGCAGAGCTGTGATAGGGAACCAGACAAAGGAAAGTGGGAGGTGCAGGCATCACTTTGCACTGGGAAGAGAATGGGGTTGGAGCAACTACAATCTAAACTGTGTTTCTCATATGAACACAGCTCTGTGTCAGGTATTGAAAGAAAGACATGATGCTTAAGAAAAGTACCTCCACAAACTTGTAGCTTTATGGAACCATATTTTGTTATTCAATATTAGTACCTTTTTCTTTTGATTAAATTTATTGGGGTGACATTAGTTAAGAAAATTATATCGGTTTCATGTGTATAGTTCTATGATACATTATCTGTGTGTTGTATTGTGTACCCACCACCCAAAGTCAAATCATCTTTCGTCACCGTACATTTGACCCCCTTTACTATCGCCCACCCCCTTCCTTTCAGTTACCACCATACTGTTGTCTGTGTCTATGAGCTTTTGTTTGTGTTTCTTGTTTGTTCATTAGTTGCTTTCAGTTTTATACTCCACATATAAGTGCAAACATATGGATTTTAACTTTTTCTGTCTGACTTCTTTTGCTTAGCCTATTCTCCAGGTCCTTGGCAAATGGCAGTACGTCATCTTTTCTTGCGGCTGTGTAGTGTTTTGTTGTATACAGCACCACATCTTCATTATCCAGAGCTACAGAAGGAACTTTCGGTTGTTCCCGTGTCTTGGACACCATGACTAAAGCTACAGTGAACATAGGGGTGCATATGTCTTTGCAAAGAAATGTTTTCCGGTGTTTGGGGTAGATAACCAGAAGAGAGGTTGCTGGGTTATATGATAACTCTAGACCTAATTTTTTAAGGCATCTCCATACCTTTTTACTATTGTAGTAACTGTGCTGCACTGAGGGGAGGTAACAAACTACAATGAATCTTAATGCTTTACTTGTTCCTTTTTCATTAATTTTATTTTTCAGTTACAGTTTATATTCAATATGATTTTGTACTGGTTTCAGGTGTACAGCATAGTGGTTAGATAATCACATACTTTACAGAGTGTCCCCCCATATTCCAGGACCCACCTGACACCATACATTGATATAATATTATTGACTTGACTATGCTGTACTGTACATGCCCATGACTGTTTGTAACTACCAATTTGTACTTTTAATCCCTTCACCTTTTTTACCCAGTCTCAATATAAATTTGGAGATGTGTTCCTTTGGCAAAAGACTTGAGCCTCCGGGTGTCATAGAACCATACTTAAGAATGTAGCACCCTGGCTGGTTTGGCTCAGCGGTTAGAGCGTCGGCCTGTGGTCCGGAGAGACCCGGGTTCGGTTCCCGCTAAGGGCATGTACCTCGGTTGCAGTTTGTCCCCGGCCCTGGCTGGGTCATGCGGGTGGCAGCCACTTGATGTGTCCCTTTCATGGCGATGTTTCTCTCTCTCTCTCTCCCTCCCACTCTATCTAAACAAAAAATGGAAAAATGTCCTCAGGTGAGGATAGAAAAAAAAAAAGAATGTAGCACCCTGGCTGGTTTGGCTCAGCGGTTAGAGCGTCGGCCTGCAGACCAGAGAGTCCTGGGTTCGGTTCCTGCTAGGGGCACACACCAAAAAAAAAAAAAAAAGAATATAGCAATTTGAGAACATGTAATTACAGAAAAAGCAACTTTTGGAAAATAATAATAATAATGCTAAAAAATTCTACATTTACAGTAGTCAACTCAAAACCAAAGCATCAGAAGCATTACAAATGCAGGCAATCCCTAGAAACCCACCGTGGCCATCCATCTCCCTTTCTCTCCAATCGCTCCACTACAAGGATGACAATCACACGTCATACAAACTACCAATTTAGCTTTCACTTAACGGAAGCCACTGGGTCTATGAAGCCAGGATGTCTTTTACACTTGTTGAGTGTTTCAAAATTGTAGTTTCTTTCCTGAACTCTGCATAGTGATTTTAGTACAATCTATACATTGTCCCCAAAGAGAAAACAGTAGACATATTTTTAAGGGGGCCTGTGGCCAGGAGGTGAAGTTGGTTTTTGACTACTGACTGACAATTACACCAATGCTTCCACCTGTCGCTCAGCCTAGTACTTCGTTTACCTTCGAGTTAGACAAACTATGCCAAATCTGGCCCTGCGTGTGTTTTTGGAAATAAAGTCCTATTGGAATACAGCCCTACTCATTTGTTTACATATAGTTTATAGCTGCTTCCGCAAGACAAAGCTGAGTAGTTAGGAGATACATGGCCCAAAACATTTGCTATCTGATTCTTTTTAGGAAAAGTTTGTCCTCCCTGCTTACTTAATGGCTGGTGTCCTGTTAAACAATGTTTGTTGAGTCATATTTGGTATTCAAGGAAAAGGAGTCTCAGAATGCAGTCAGTCATCACCTGAGAGTACACAGTTTCTATTAATACACCGTGTGCTGTCCTTGAGTGAGATTTTTCATTGATTGATTTTATTTCATTGATATTTTCATTAAGATTTTCCATTGATTTTTTCAGTTCAGAATTCAGTAAATGGATTTCTATTAGGTGACGGCACCTACATGACAAGGAGGCTTCCTTTTTAGGTGTTCCTGGGGAGAACATTTTCCCGTGTGTTCCTGTCATAATGCAAATGTTGGGAATTCCCTTTTGCCACTCTCCCGTCTATGATTGTTATAGCTTATTTGCTACCCCATAACATATTTACACAACATCAAAACCTCCTGGCTCCCTTTATCTTATTAAACTAGAGCTCTGAAAAATAAAAAGATTCTTAAAAGATCAGTTATTCTTAAATTATTGTCATTTATTTTGAAATGTCAGTGGACAGCTTCTTTTCAATACCACATGTGTGAAAAGAAAAACACTGAGCTGAATAATCTGCCAAATGGTGGTATTTTTTTCCACTGTTAATTTTTAAATTTCCAATTTTTCTCTGTTCTGAGCAAGAATGTAAACATTTTAATTCTTTCAACAGAGTGCCATCATAAGTTTATAGCCGCTGTGCCTTAGACAACTCACATCTAGGGAAGGAAATTTCTAATTCAATTTACAATGATGTCAAGAAACAACACGTATCTGCAGGCAAAGATAAGAAAAACATTCAGGGGTACTCAGTGATAGCTCTACTTAAATAAATAAACTTTTGGTTATAGTGATTAGGTACACAGGATTATTATATGTTTAATTGGCTAACGTGACAATTTGGAATTACTTCTAGTCACATTTAATTGGATTTGGAGTCTCTGGAGAAAAGAAATAGAGAGGCCTCACAGAGAAACAGTCATAAAAGTAAACTGTTTTTCCAAAGGGTGCTAAGCAATGAATTAATATCCATTGCACAATAGTTTTTAATATCCCCTCAGCTTAATAAGACTAATGCAATGGTTGTACACACTAGATACTAAAACCAATTCAATTAAACACAAGTTTGCAGGAAGAGGAGTGTTTGCAGAATTGGAAAATTTTTATTTTCAATTTTAAGGAAGCTAATATAATCAGACGTGAATAATCTTTAATTCAGGTAAAGCCTGAGATGTACTTAAATACCAATATATAATAGTTAGCTATAATACTATGCTAGGTTTAAAGGCATTTTGCAGTCCATAATATATGTTACTACATAAATGCTTTGAAGCTTAGTAAGAGGTAACCAAAACAAAGCATTCTCTTATCTATAAATACTATTGTCTTGTTGTTAATCCTCACCCCAGGATTTTTCCACTTATTTTTAGAGAGAGTGGAAGGGAGGGCGGGAGAGGGAGAGAGAGAGAAAATCATCAATGTGAGAGAGACACATCTATTGGTTGCCTCCTGCACATGCTCCAACTGGGGTGGGGAACAAATCTGCAACCCAGGTAGGTGCCCTTGATCAGGAATCGAACCTGCCATCCTTTGGTGGGTAGGCCAGTGCTCTAACCACTGAGAAACACTGGCTGGGGCTGTAAATACTGTTCTTATACTGTTAAAACAAACAAAAAAATCTAAGAGATAAATGGCCAAGTTTCCTCTCTTACAGTGTTAGTTTAGCTATCAAAAAACCCTACTTTCTACATTGAAAATTATGCCTTATGCTTTGTTTAATATTTGTCCGTCAAATTTATTCATTATAAAATCTTCTTCCTCAGTATTTATATATACTACCTGTTGTGGTTTTTCTTTGGTCTTAATCATTGGGTTTTGGTTTTGTGTTTTTTAATCTGTCCCTGTTCTTAGGAGTGCCATGATTGCTGACTACATGTTCTGGCTCTTCGGAGGAAGTGAGCAGTGTGTAAGCAAGCTCATCAAACTGTATTGGCAGGTAAAAACTGATATCCCAATGAGGGAGGAGGGGCCTGTTTCATTTTCAGACCAAAATGAAGGATTGGTGCTCATAAGATTGCTGAAAAAGGTAGCTGTTGGCATATCAATCAGAAAGACACCACTCAGTGGTAATATATTTAATGAATTTATAATGAAGTAGATTTTTCTAACTAATTTTAAGGGTAAAATTCAAGGTTGTTAACCCTTGGCTCATACCTCAGTTTTACAACCCAATATAAATTTTAGACATCCCGGGAACAGTTTTCCCAGCCATGCTGCTATAATGACATGATCCTTTAAAACATGAACTTTGTGTTTTCATAGATTCTTTCTGATCTATGACCTGTAAAAGCAGATGCTAGAAGTAATACCAATTACACAATGAAGGGAAATGCAAAGATCAGTTGTATTTGTTGGGTAACATTTAGGATTTGGAACACTTAACCAAACAAACTCCAGATTTTCTTTCTTATTATTCAAAATGGTAGCAAGAAGTCACACAAAAGGTCAGTTAGATGTCAAGAAGAGAGTTATACTTTCTTAGAATTATAGGAGAATTAAGAATGTGCTAGGCTCAGCCGGTGTGGCTCAGTGGATTGAGCATCCTCCCATGGACTTAGAGATCGAGGTTCAATTTCCGGTCAGAGCATGTGCCCAGGTTGTGGGCTGGATCCCCAGTAGGAGGAGGGCAGGAGGCAATCGATCAAGGTTTCTCTCTCACATCGATGTTTCTATCTCTCTCTCTAAAAAAAATCAATAAACACACACACACACATATATATATATTTTCATATATATATATATATATATATATATATATATATATGAAAGAATGTACTAGGTCATTGTCCTTCAAAACATACACATCTATTTTTGTTCCATTCTTTCCCCACAAATTGTCAATGATGTTCTGCTGAAATATATCCAAAATAAAGATCTCACTTATTCTCAAGAAACATCTTATTTGCTAACTGTTAAACTGCTTTCTTCATTTATTTATTAATTTGTTCTTTATTGATTTTTTTTTTTTTTTAGAGAGAGAGAAAGGGAGAGGGAGAGAGATAGGAACATCGATGAGAGAGGACATTGATTGGCTGCGTCCTGCATGCCCCCCACTGGGGATCAGGCCCACAACCTGAGCATGTGCCCTGATCTGGGATCAAACCGGTGACCTCCTGGTGCATAGGTCGACACCCAACCGCTGAGCCACACCAGCCTGGCTGCTTTCTTCATTTAAAGTGGATTTCTCCTGCCTTAAAACATACATTAAGTGGTTCCCAGTGGGGCCACACTGGTCAAATGAAAACCCATTTCCAAATAAAAGTTTTTAAAAATATTTGAAAATCAACTACAATAACTTCCTCTATATCTTCTGCTCTCCAGACTATGTGAGACTCTTTTTTTCTTTGTGTTTCAAGATAGTTTAATTTAATTGAATATGAACCTTTGCAACGAACTAGAACAAGATCTGCTAAAACACTAATATGAAAGTGAGAAATAATCATCAACAGTCTTCTAGTGCTCCCTGGTTTTTCCCACAATTTCACTAGTGTGTCTTGGTCCCAAGTTCTCTGTATTTCTATCACACATTATCTTCATGAGACAGGAATGTCTCAGTAACCTCAGTAATTTGTTTTGTTTTACCATGTAACCTCAGTAATTTATATTGTGTCATCTAAATATTTGGAGTTCAATTTACTCAATATAAAAATAAGAATTTAAATTAGTCTTATTTATCATTGAGACCTATAACATTTTTTTAAGTTAATCTTTAGGTAAATTTTAATCTAAAAAAATTACTAGTTTGCTGATAAGTTCTAGACATACCTAAGGAAATCTAGAACATGCAAAACATCAGTAGTTGCTAATAGATGTGTAAGTAAATAATTGTAAAGAATTGCTAGATTTGAAAAATAAGCAAATAATATGGGCTATAAATATAATAAAGGAAGAAGACGTTTTATCAAAGGATTCCAGAGGCTTCTAGAGAGAGGTGAGAAAGGAGCTGAATCTTGAGGATGAGATAATAGTTATCAGACCTGGCATATATTAGGTCCCAAATGAATGTTCGTTTTAGTTTATTTACTCATTAAACCAACATATATTGAGTATCTACTGTTTTTTCTACATTGAACTAGGGGAGAAAAGGGTCCAGTGTTGGTTCAACCTAAGAAAGGTCAAGAGCTTGAAGTTGGTTAATAAGTTTTTTGTTTCCTTTATCTTTCAAAGAGTAATAATGCCACTATTTACTTCAAACTAAGAAAATAATCTCCACTTAGCCATGCATGCATGTTTGCTATATTAAAAAAAAGAATAAAACAAATACTATTATTTTGCCATTCTGTATTAAGAAAAGATAAGAAAAACATGTTTCTTTCGGCATTCTAATTTTCTCCTTTAATTGGAATCAACTTGGTATATTGAAAACGAGGCCTTGTCTGGAAGTCATGTCTGATTCAGTCCAGGTTCTAACACCAGTTACCTAACCTGAGGCAAGTTAGTCTAGAGAAGCTTCAACTATAAAATATGAGATGACTACCATCAAGTGTTTGAGGAGGTCTATTTTTAAAGTCCATGTAAGCACTAAAAGCTTGCGTTTTTAGGCACATCCAAACATGATATCACAAATTTTAAGGAAAAAATAACATAATTAGAAATTGCATCCTACAAATGAATTCCATAAACTACACCCTCTCACTAGCTCCAGAATCATGACACCACACCATTGTCTCACCAGTTACATTCTTCCTTCTAATAGCCAGTTTCTCCTTGATCTTAATTCAAATAGATACGCCTGCCCCTTACACCTTGTTCTGTTCTAAATCAAAGTTTAGGGCATTGCCAGAGAGTGCCCAGTCCATGCCAACTTTAAAGATGGGGACGCTCCACTACCCAACCCCATCGCAGCTACAGTGTCGAATTGAAGAATGCCCCAAACATCACAGACTAGGAATTGTATTTGTATGTACATTCATAGACATTCATTAAGTGAATATAGACAGGGGCTGTTTTCACTACCTTTGTAAGTGGAGAGGATACTATACAGCTTCCTTTTCAACCACATAAAATCCCTCCCATTCTGGTCAGTTCTTCTTTTTCAGGTTTTAAACAGGGAATGGAAAATTTCAGAATGTAAAAATTTGAGAACCAGTTTATACCCACTCTCATAGACCATTGATTGACAAAATTTTTACTCAAAAGAACAGACCCTTGCTTTGGTGAGCACAGAACACCTTTACATTGTATTAAGAATATTTTTCAAATCATCAACCCAGTAAGAAAATAAAAAGGGCATAAAGCTCTATGCTGTATGACAGCTCACACTGGGATATAGCACTTTGAACAAAAGTGTTTGCACATGTTATTATGTAATCATGTCACCTCGCCAGAGCTAGAGAGGATTGGAAATAACTTGTCACACCATACTTGCGTGCATACCTCTGCAACCTGAGACCTTTCTTCTGTCATCAGCCACCCTCCTCTTCTCAAACACTTGGAGAAATCCTCACAATTCTGAACAAATTAGCAAAATGGAAAGTCCTAGTCAGGCTAAGAATTAGCTATTTTGAAGCAGTGACCCTTATGTGTTTATATATTGCTCCTAAAGTAATAATATTATTCCAAGAAGAACTTCATAGTAAACTCGAGTCCTCCTCCACTTGAGATCCAGGGCTAGACTTAATAGCATCAGGAAACATACAAGGTTCCTCTCAGGTTTCCTTTCCTGTTTTCCTGTTCTCACTTTCAGTCATGTGGGTTATCTTGAATGGGCTTTATCTCCTGCAGTGTGAGTTACAAAGCCAACTCTGATCTGCACCACTCAGCAAAGGGGAGTGGGAAAAGGCCATAATAGCTCATTTTGTTGCAAAACTCCCATGAAATGAGTTTAAAGGAACCCCACTAAATGGACAAGATGCCTGATAAGCTCATTTCCACCTTAATAGTTTTTTTCTTCTTTTTTTTTTTGTTTTGTTTTGTTTTTGTTCTTGTTTTCTGAGTCACAAACCCCTCTGAGAATCTGATTCAATTTGCAGGCTTCCACCTAGAAACATTACTCATAAACACATACACAGAGAAGAATATGCTTACCCTTTATCTCTACATTGAGAATTGATCTTCTGCACATAGAACGCCAGAGCAATATTTACAGATTATTCTGGCTTTCTCGTTCTTGTGAGAAGGTTATGCAAATTTTCTGGAATAAGAAATTGGAATATTATATTTGACATCTCATCAATGTCAGTATTTTATTGTGATGACAATAGAGCCAAAACCCTGATTCACGAAGTCTTAAATAGCAAATGGAGTCAGAGCTCCTAGGGCCCACAATATCTCATAGCAGTAGGCATGCATCAAAAAACATCCAAATTCATATTACATCATTCCCTTTGTCCTCAAGTCAATGAGATTATATTTGTTAAGTCTGTATCATCAAAGCTATGCCAGCAATGTGTTTTGATGTTAAAGCCATCTAAACAAATGTGATCTTTGTAAGACGTAAACGATTTTCTGAGTGTCTATAGATTTTTATACCTAGAAACTCTGAAGACTTTGTCAGTCTCACCCCTAGTCTGGGAAGTTAATATTATTATTGGACTCCAGCTACCTCATTTGAAGTAGCAGCTTGACCCAAGAAAAGCTCACAGTTTATCCAAAAAAAGCTCATAGTTTGTTCAGCATCATGTCTAATAGTCAATGTCATTATTTCAATCAAAAGATTTGTCTCATTTATATGACTAAGATATCAGCCATTTTAAAAATAAAAGCTAGTCATGGAATGAACTCACTATCAATTTGTCCTAAAATGAGGTTGTTGTTTTTTTCTATTAAATTTTTTTAAAGACTTAACCAAACCAAATTACTTCTAAATTTCTTCTCTGGATTGCCAATAAACTTCTCCAGTAGGTAAGAACCTCATGGTGTGGGTTCTCGTACCTTGACAAAGATCTCCGGAAGAGGCACTGATTTGAGTTCTTGGCTCTGCGGCAGTTGAAGGCT